TTGGGGTATTGTCCTGGCCAAGAGCACGCTCATGAGGGGGATCGGGGAGGGCAGCAGTCACGTGGGGGAAACTGAGGCACGGGGTCACACAGTCCGTGAGTAGAGGAGCAGCGTTCCAACCAGGCTTGCCCGCTCCCCACGTGCTGTCAGTCCGAGCCTCAAGGGACCGAGGAGGGCCTGCTGTGCTGTGAGCCCCGTCATGGAGCTGCCCGCCCCAGCCTCTTCTCAGTTGTTCCTTCCCACCCTCATCCTCTGTCCCCCTGCGTCTGTTTACACACGCACCTACATCCTGTAGAGTCCCAGGTGCTGACAGGACTTCATTCAGGTCTCCTGACAGGCCCGTGGCCTGTAGTTAATCTGCCCAGGTGACACCCACCTTCCTGGCCCCACTGCCAGGCCCTGGGGCAGACGTGGCCCTGCCGTGTGAGTCGGGTGTCGCTGGCTAAGACACTTAGACAGAAATGACCATTCAGTACACCTTTGGTTCTAGAGTCGGACATTTCACACACGTGTTTGTGGACGAAGCAGGACAGGCCAGTGAGCCAGAATGCCTTATTCCTCTGGGGCTGGTCTCAGACGCCAACGGCCAGGTGAGGCCTGCTTGCTGTGGGGTTCTCATCCCGTTCCCCTGCTCTGGCATGCGCTCTGCACACCCCAGCACAGGGTGAGACAGGTGTCACAGGGGTGACGGGCTCAGGTGAGGCACCACGGACCCCGAGGCTCCGTGACACTAGGGCCTTGCGTGGACGAGGAAGAAAGGGCTGCTCTGCCTAGATTGATTCGCTTGGGAAACAGACTCCAAGAGTCTTTGTGCAGCCAGACAGGGACATCCAGGCGTTTCCTGGCTCACCGCCCAGGGTTCTGACCCCTCTGCTCCCCCCCTGCCCCTTGCGGCTAACCCCTTTTATCCCAGGCTGATGCTTTGGCTCTTTCCTACTCAACACCTGTTGCTTCCTCCAGCACTCCCCCTGATGGTGACCCGGGGTCCTCTCAGGCTTCCCTTGGCCCTCTCCTCTGCACACGTCCGTCACTCAGGAGAGCCCTTCCTAGCTTCTCCTGGTCCCCTAGACACCTGCCTCCTCCCATCCTGATTGCCTGGTGTGGGGGCAGCACAGAGAGCAGGGAGAAGACCTGGTTCAGCTGCAGCGTGGGCCGTGGGCGGTGGGCGTGGGCCAGGGCCCGCAGGCAGAAGGGGAAGGGGCACAGCGTGCACTTCCAGGGGACAGAGACAGAGGCCACCCAGCCACTTCGTTCTTCACATCCTGCCGCCCTCATCTGAGCTTCTGCCACCTTGCTCGGGCAGCCGTGCTGCGTCCCCCGTCTTCTGGAGCCCAAGTGATGGTGGGGGCCGGCCGCCTCCCAGCCTGCCCTCAGGGAGCCTCAGCCAGCCGGGCCACCAGAAGGCGGAGGCCAGCCTGGTGCACACGTGGCTGACCCACTTCCCAAACCTCTCCCAGCTGTGGTTGCGAGTCTGTGTCCCTGCACTAGTGTGGGTGCCCGCCTGTGTGCCACAGATTGTCCTTGCCGGAGACCCCATGCAGCTCGGCCCGGTTATCAAGTCCAGACTCGCCATGGCCTACGGGCTGAATGTGTCTATGCTGGAAAGACTGATGTCTCGGCCGGTGTATATGAGGGACGAAGACGCTTTCGGTGCCTGTGGCGCCTACAACCCCTTGTTGGTAAGCACAGACTCCCCGTGGCATGTGGTTCCTCATGGCCTTCCACCACAGTCCCCGTGCGCACTGAGCTCACACTCCCCTCCCCCATCCCAGAAGGGACTTTGCCAGCACCTCTGTCCCAGTAGCTCAGCCGTTCCAGACAGTCCCGTCTAAGGCTGATGGCTGAGGTTCTGTAGGGCCAAACACGAGAAGAGTTAAATCTGAGTTAATGTGGGAAAACGGGAAAGAGCCTTCTAGTTCATAGTCTGAAAGAAGAGGCCGTGTCTCCTTCCTGTGGTGCTAGTTTGCTGGTTAACCTGCAGATTCCCTTCTCAGCCAGACTGTGACCGCTTCAGAGGGATGGGCCTTGGAATCTGCATTTTAGCCCCCTCCCCCACAGGAACACTGGAGTTTGGGAGCCTTGGGTCTCTGGGGTCCCTCGTTAAAGTGAGCCAAGTAGCACATTCTGTAAGTTCCTGCAGCACAAAAGGAGAGTTCCTTCTAAACTTTAACAGTAAACAGAAAGGAGGCGTGGTGATCATGGGCAGGTTTTCCTGGAAACGGCTTGGGACCTGTGCCAGGCAATGGGCCCTCAGGCCCTTTACCCACCTGGAGAACAGAGGGGGCAAGACAGCAGGGGAAGTGGCATGGGCTGGGGAGAGCTGGACCCTCCGGAGGTGCTGAGGGCCGTGGAAGACTGCCCCAAGGCAAGCCCAGGGCAGCAGTGGGCTCATGCCAGCCCAGACTGGGCAGTGAAGAGCGCCCTGCCTGTGGGAGACGCATGTGCGCCCCCTGGCGTCCACATCCCCCCCACCCCCCCCCCCCACCCCCGGGCTCACAGGCAGCAAAGCCTCCTCTGCCTGACAGCGCAGCACCTTCCTTCTCCCCAGGGCGCCTAAAGCTGCAGCGAGTTTCTGGGGGCAGAGGGCCTCTCTCGCCAGGTGCTCTGCAGGCCGACACAGGGCCTGGCTTGGGGTGCAAGGAGCTGAGATGCCAAATTGAGTTTGAGTTTGGGGCTTTGATTAGCATTTTGGAGGCTGAACACGTTGTAGTTGCGGAGCTGAAATTTGTCACCGTGGATCAACAGAAAAGTCCTGGGGCCTACCGGGTTCTCACCCCGGAACGAGGGAAGACCCCCTCCACCAATGAGGCCCCAGGCCAGTTGGAGGCAGGACACAGGTCACTCTCGCTCTGTGTGCTGGTGACGTCACCAGCAGCTCGCAACAAGGTCCCAACCAGGCTTCAAGCCGGCTGTGGCTTAGGGGGATGTGCCCTTAGCCACGAGGGCCCCACGGTCCAGGAGCCAGTGGCTGCCTGCAACTGACATGAGACCAGGCTTCATGAGTTCGTAGAAAGACCGGGGCTGCGGGACAGTGGCTATGGAGGGGAGTGTGCGGCCGGATGCACAACCAGCCCCTCCACCCCTGAGGGAGACCCCTCAGCTGTCTGGACTCAGGGGACCATCGAGTAGCTTTCTCCTCTTCTCTTTTCCTGACGTTCACCTTCTCTGTGAGAGCAGGCCCTTGAGCCTACCCGTGGGTTCAGAGGGGCTCGCTCACGAGCACTGCACTTCTCAGCAAACCCGTGTCATCAGGTCCGTAGGTCCTGGGGCTTTGCAGTCCAGAACGCGTTTTCCAGGTGAAGAGCTCTCCTGGCAGCGACAGTGCATTCCTGTCGAGTGGTGGACACTAAAATCCTTGGGACAGAGGACGCATTTTTCATGCTTAGTGCCAGTGAGGAGTCCAGTGGGGGCAAGGGCGCCTCGGTGGCCAGTGGGGAGCCCAGCCTGGGCACTCAGCACAGCCACAAGCAGGCGTCACAGGCAGCACTGAGCATGTTCCTGCCTCACTATCAGGTCCCAGTCACGGCCACAGCCACCACAGCTGTGGGAGCCTCCAACCGTGCTGTGGAGCCACACAGATGCCAGCAGGCCACCAGGTGTGGTTGGCCTCCCCTCCCAGCAGCTGCCCTACCACCTGATTTGCCAGGGAGCCTCCCTCCCTCTTGCCGGGCCCTGGCAAGCAGGGCAGGATGGCGGTGCGCCCCCCGCCTGCGGCGTGGTGGTGGGATCAAAGCATGGGGCGCCCGGTGGGAGGCTGAGATGGCGAGCAGGCGATGCCTTGCGGGAAAGCGGCGACACCCAGGAAGCTGTTGGGCCCAGAGACGGGGGGAGCCACAAAGAAGAGGAGGTGGGTCGAGAAGCCTTGAGCCAAACCAGTCCAGGGGGCTGGGGCAGGGAGGGGGCGAGAAGAGCGGGTTAAGCGTCTGACTTCAGCTCAGGTCACGACATCCCTTTCAGAGTTCGGCAGCCCCAAGGGCTGGGCTTTGGTGCTGATACCGAGCCTGGAGCCCGCTTCAGATTCTGTCTCCCTCTCTCTCTGCCCCCCCCACTGCAAGATTTTGTCTTCTCCGCCTCCCCCGGAAAACATACACTTAAAAAAAGAATGCGCTCTTCCTAACGAGCCCTGAGAAATGTAGGAAACTGTCAAATAGTTATATCGTACACCTGAGACTAATATAACACCGTACGTTGATTATATTTCAATTAAAAGAAACCAAACCCTCTGTTCAAAAAGTCATTAGAGGTGTGGGAGCACTTCCTGAGGAGCTGGCAGGTGACAGGCCAGGAGAGGGAGGACAGGCAGAAGCAGGCGCCCCCAGGGCTACAATCTGAGATGGGTCTCGGCATTTCTCCTTTTGACAGAAGTGTGACACGCGTGTGCCAGTTTGGCTCTGGACCCGTTTCCATCTCTCTCTTTGCAGGTGACAAAGCTCGTGAACAACTACAGATCCCACCCAGCTCTGCTGGCACTGCCATCCAGGCTGTTCTACCACAGAGAGCTCGAAGTGTGCGCAGACCCCAAGGTGGTGACCTCCCTGCTGGGCTGGGAGAAGTTACCGAAGAAAGGCTTCCCGCTCATATTCCACGGCGTGAGGGTGAGTCGTGCGCCGAGAGTGGTCTAGTGGCCGCGTGAGCCCTCAGTGCTGTTCGTGGGTCTGTGCGTGTTCATCACATGTGGTTTGTTCAAGTCCGTTGTTAGTGGGGCATTCACCAGCTGCCAGTGGGCAGATGGCCACGCTGATGCCGAAGAGTAGAACCAGTAAGGAGGGCTTCTCCCCCTGCAAGGCCGGCCCGTCGGCCACTCAGGTGACTATACACAGAACAGACTCGGAAGTGCTGGCCCAAGTGGGCACTGGAGGGCGGAGGGGCCTGAAGGCGTCGTGTGACTGAGGGGGAGGCTGGGGCGATGCAGAGCTGGGGGAGCTGGGTACCAGGAGGCCCCGTGCCCACCAAGAAGGACCGCACCCCTTGTGAGCCTGTGTCAGGCGAGGGGACTGCTGTGGGGTGGGGACACCTGCCCGTCACCATGGCCTCACCAGGTGGGGGGCTCCCCAGTAGGCAAGAGCTAGATGCTCAGTAGCCCAAAAAGTGCCAACTGTGCCCTAACATCAGAGACTCCGTATTGAAATTTGGTGGTTGTTAGAACCAGAAGTCATCTTTTGCATTAACTGCCCCCGAGTTCTCATCCAGAATTGGGGCTGCGCCCCAACCCCGGGACAGGAGGCGCCGGTGGGGCTGGGGGTGCGTGAATCCAGGTGACGGTGCCACTGCCGTGTGCTCTCTCAGAAGTGGATGGAAGGGGGTGGGGTTGCATGTTCAGCTGTGGCTGTGGAGGGGCTACCCTTTGGACAAAAGAGAATTCAAGGAAAGAGACCAGTCCCTCTCAGCTTGAGACACTCGCCACAGAGCCCTGTTGACCAGTGCTTTCTCCCAACCTCGTATGCCGGTCCCCCTTCCCGGGAACATCCTGCCCCTCTTCTGTCCGTCCTCAGAAGCTTCCCTGTATGTCAGAAAAACAAGTTAGAAAATGTAGCAGAAAGTGTAGAAAATGTCGGAGATCTCCCTGACATTCGCTGGACTTCAGCCTAAGGAGAAGTAAGCAGGATTGCTGCAGGGAGAAAACTGGACCCGAGCGTGTGAAGTGAGACAGGTGATGTTCATGAACAGACAGTCCAGTGTTGTTCTGCCTAAATTAATTCCTATATTTAATGCATAGAAGTCTACATAGAAGTCACAATGGGTTTTTTCATGAGAAATGAATGGATTATAAACGTGCAGATGTGTTTTAAATGTGCAAAAAGTGTTTGTAGCAGAATGAGATACGGAGCCAGTTAGATATACTACAAGCAATAGCCAACAGAAGCATACTTGTAGACTCAAAAAAAAAACAAAAAACAAAAAACATAGGCAGTGAAACAAAGTCCAAAAACATTTATTAAGAATTTTTCAAGGGCCTACTTGTGTCCCAGGCTCCACTCTGGGCCCTGAGCATAAAATGGGTGATGAGGCCTCGGGCTGGGTTGCGGAGAACAGTCGACTGCCATCATTTGAGCAAAAAGGGTTTGGCCTCAGGGCTGCTGTCAAGGCCTGCCCCTTGCACTCCCTCTGCACCCTCACCCGTGGCTCCTGCAGGCCGCTCCAGTCCCCGAGATGCGACGGCAGGCCCCCTCCCTGGCAGGTGCCCCCCTCGTTGAAGTGTTACCTTGACTGACAGCTTCCCCTGCGGAGGCTCTGGAAGGACCTCTGTCTGACTCCTGCTCCGTTCCCGTGCCCAGCACGTCTCAGCAGAAGGAGCACAGCAGAACGTGCCGCGTGAACATCGTGGGGCAGGGCTGAGCCCCGGGGCGGCCCAGGAGGAGCCACCAAGGTAGCTGTGGTCTTGTCCTCCTAGAGAAACGGTCGGAAGCCTGCACCGCGGTGGACAGGTGGCTGATGCCATGGCAGAGTGGAGTAGGACAGCATAGCCCTCTCAGAGCCTGGGATACTTTCTGGTCCCTGACAGGAGAGATGTGACAAGCCCTGGTCTAATTGAAAAGCCAACTTCGGACTGACTTGCATTTTCTCCGCTTTGTTTCGTTGCTTCGTTAATCTTGCTTTGTCTTTAATCATCCCCCTGCTAACGTGCGTATCTATTTTGTTTGTTGTAACTCCTCATCCTCTGAATTAGGCAGATGCCGGGGATGCCGACCTGTACCTTCCTTTCCACGTGTGTCTGCTGAGGGATCTTCTTTCACAACTTTCTGGACATTTATAACTTTCTCTTTCTTCTCTTTTTTTTGATCCACGGGTTACAGAGAAGTATTTTTTTCTTAATTTTCAAGTGGCTGAGAATTCTTTGGCCACCTCTTTTTTGTTGTTTCTAATTTTATTAGGTGGTCAAGAACAATGGCCTGTAAACTCTCTGCTTTTAAAAATTTGCGGCCAACTAGATATCAGGTTGGGTACATATTCTGAGGACATACCCCCGAAAGGTATAGGCTCTATTTGAGGGATGCAAGTTCCGTGTATATTTTTAAACAAACGTTTGGAGTCTGTGGTTCAGCTCCCCTGTGTCCTGATGTCAGCACGCCCGCGGAGGGAGAGGCGCGGTGAGGTCTATATAACTCTCGTTATAGTTGTGCTTTTTTATCAAATCCTCTGTGAATTCCAGTTGCTTCTGCCTTAGGGACTTAACTGCCGAGGTGTTTCCTGCATACGAGTCATGATTGTCTTCCTCCTCATGTTACGTTCTCCCTACTGTTTCTTGTTTCTCGCCTTAAATTCCAACCGGTAACTCATACTAATGTCGCCGTTGCTTGTTTCTTTTTATCTGGTATCGTAGCCCTTCTTTTTCTCTCTTCATCATCTTACCGTACGTATCTTTCTTAGAACAGCCCATTTTCATGTTTAACCCAGTTTGAGAGTCTCTGATTTTAATGAGATAGTCAGTCCAACCTATGCTTTCTTACCTTTATTCCTTCATTTTCACCTTTATTACCAATTTTCATGGTTTCTTCCTTTTCCTTATTTTTTGTAGGTGATTGGTCGCTATTCGGCGTTTTTTCTCTTTCAGTAAGTTCTTGCCTAAGCACCATCACGCTGAAATTGTTTGTAGTTCTCTATTGTCAATCTCAAAGATAAATTACAGGGCAGCTGGCTGGCTCTGTCAGAAGAGCATGCAACTCTTGATCTCAGGGTTGTGAGTTCAAGCCCCATGTTGAGTGTAGAGATTACAAAATAAACTTTAAAAAAAATTAAAAAGGCACCTGGGTGGCTCAGTCGGTTGAGCGTCCGACTTCAGCTCAGGTCACGATCTCACGGTTCGTGAGTTCAAGCCCCGCACCGGGCTTTGCGCTGACGGTGCGGAGCCTGGAGCCTGCTTCGGATTCTGTGTCTCCCTCTCCTTCTGCCCCAGATAAATTACGTACGGCTTAACAACAGCAAAAAACATCCTCAAGGTTAATACAGTCCAATTGCTGTGTCTGGTATTCTCTTTTTTTTTAATTGTGCCAAAATAACATGTGACATAAAATTTACTTTAGCCATTTCCAAATGTACAGTTCAGCAGTGTTAAATGTATTCACATTGTTTTGCATCCAGTTATTAGAACTTTTCCATCTTTCCAGACCGAAACTCTGTCACCATTAAACACTCACTTCCCCTCCTGCTCCCAGGCCCCTGGCGCCCACCACCTACTTCCTGGCTCCGTGAATCTGACTCCTGTAGATGCCTCATATGAGTGGAGTCTTCCAGTATTGTCTTCTGTGATGGCTTATTTCACTCAGCACAAAGTCCTCAGGACACGGGTGTGAGAAGTTCCTTTCTTCTTAAGGCCGAATAACATTCCATTGTCTGGATGGACCGTCTTTGGTTTATCTGTCCATCCACTCACGGACACTTGGGTCGCCTGCACGTTGTAGCTGTTGTTCGGAATGCTGCAAAGTACAGGCATACGGTATGTCTCTGAGACCCTCGAGTGGGATTGCTGGATCACATCGGATTTCCGGTGTCGTTCTTTGAGAAGCCGCCACACCGTTTTCCACAGTGACCGTGCCGATTTACATTCCCGTGGGCCGTGCACAGGGGTCCGGTTTCTCCACATCCTCCCCAACGCTTGTTTTGTTTCTTCGAAGAAACCATGTGTGAGGGGGACCTTGTGGCTCTCACCTGTGTCTCCCTGATTATCGGTGACGCTGAGCACCTGTGCGTGCGTGTGGGTCGGAGGCACGCTCCTTTGATGGCTGGCTGAGAGGGCCCAGGCCTACACGTGGGGAGGGAGGGGGGGCCCGAGTGCGTGCTCACCTGCCTGACTGCAGCCGGCCGCCGCCCTGCAGGCCCCGTGGTCTGCTCTGGCCCCGGCTCCCAAGGTTTGGGCCGCACCGGTTGCTTGTGCCTGTTTGTGGCACGCCCTGTGGTTCCCCGGCAGGGCCCGCATCCCCACCCTCGCCAAGCACCCTGCTCTTTGCCTAGCAATTCCTGCACGTGCATCACCGCCCATCCACTCCTGTCGGCAAATCGCGGGCCGCCCCCAAGCAGCCCTTCTCCGCCGGGGCCCTTGCTGCGGCCGTGGCGGACGTGACCGTGACTGAAGTTAGTCTGCCCACCGGAGTGTGAGGTCTGCAGGAGCACGGGCGTACTTTCTGCCTCACGCGTGCCGTATCCCGACACCTGCTCTGCTCCTTCCTTGTTCACAGCCCCCTTCACAGCACCTGTTGAGGAAATGAAGTCTGGGGGCTGGGTGTGCCATTCTCTTATCTCCGAATTGTAACCCAGGGCAGCGAAGCTCGTGAAGGCAGGAGCCCGTCCTGGTTCAACGCGGCCGAAGCCGTCCAGGTCATGCGCTACTGCTGCCTCCTGGCCAGGGGCATCTCCAGCCAGGTGTCTGCAAGCGATATTGGTGTGATCACACCCTACCGGAAGCAGGTATGGGCCTGCCCACCGCTCCTTTGAGCTGTCGTGTTCACAGAGTCCGGAAGGCGGGTGGAGACCAGCTCCCTCAGGGGGCACCAAGTCCCTCCACAGCCGCTGCACCCCCGGCCTCCCCGCACCCCCGCCAGCCTGCCCCACACCCGTGTCCTGGTGCTCGGACCCTCAGACCCTGCTCCCAGGGGCTGGGGCGCTCCATCTGGGCTTACCTGGCAGTGGGAGCGAGCAGTGGGCCACCATCCGCGTCCTCCTGGGGGACAGTCAAGCTTCCCCCTAGCACTGAGCTTTCGTCTTCTGCGCACTTTTCTCCAAGGTTGCAAACTGGTTTTTACTTCACCAGCACCCATTGGAGACCTTGGTCTCTAGACACACAGTCCAGAACCCGGCATCCTGCTTCTGTGACAGCCGTTCCCATTCCCCCAGGAGCTGGCTCTTTCACAAAGACGTCTGCCCCTGCCTTCCGGCTGCTGTTGTGCAGAGCCTGCTTCCAGGCCTCTGTCCAGCCCCTCAGGCCCCTGGGGTGTGGCGCTCTGGAGCCTGCCCGGCTGTGGGTCCCAGCACCGTCCCCGCTGAGATGGCCAGGCCCGCCCAGCAGCAGGCATGTGCACCTGTGGGGAGAGGGAGACGTCACTCCAGACACTCTGCCCCCTCTCCCTTTCCCCAGTGCACTGTGTCTGAAATCAGAATTTGTGTCCTAATCAACTTAGATGAAATACGATTTGGAAGTGATAAGCAACAGTGCATGTTGGTTAATATCTGGCTTGTGCTTAAATATGTAAAGAAATGGTCAGATTTGTAAAGTTCTGTCCTTTTTTTGTCTGCTTCAAAGGTGGAAAAAATCAAAATTCTTTTGCGAAATGTTGACCTGATGGACATAAAGGTTGGATCAGTAGAGGAGTTTCAAGGGCAAGAATATTTGGTCATCATCATCTCCACCGTAGGTATTCCTGTTTTGAGTGGGGGTGACGGTGTGTGTGACACCACCTGAGGTTCATGTCCTTCCGGTCGAAAGCGGCGGAGGCTGGTCGGTAGCACAGGCGACCACTGGCAGGACGGAGATGTTCCGGAGCCCTCTCGAGCCGTAACTGCAGGGAGCTCTTTAGAAGACGCGACACCTGCAGACAAAAAAATAACCGAAATCCAGCGAGAAGCAGTAAACGTGCTGGTAAAGGTCCCACACGCGGGCCACGGTGGCTCGGTGCTGCCGCCCCAGGAGAACCCGCTGTGACTCTCAAAACTCCATGTTCGTACAGAACGTGTGAGCAGCAGATAAGTTAGGAAATTCAGACACGACGATGGAAGTCAGAATCGCTTACCACTCTACACCCAGAGATAGAGGGTGTCCTGTGTAGACGATGGCGACGAGGCTCCCTCCACACCACTGGTGTTTTTTTCCTTCTTTAACTAAAAATGGGGTTCTGCTGATGTTTAACAGTTTTAAATGCTTTTAAATATCGAGTTTCTTTCCATGCCAAAAAAATGGATACGATACCGTTTTTATTCATTTTCGTGTTTTTTAGGTGCGGTCAAATGAAGACAGGTTTGAAGACGATAGACATTTTTTGGGTTTCTTGTCCAACTCAAAAAGATTTAATGTTGCAGTCACCAGACCCAAAGCCTTGCTGATTGTGCTGGGAAACCCTCACGTGCTGGTCAAAGTGAGTCTGCCGAGGAGGGAAGGGCCTGGGTGGAAGGCGCCGCTTGGGACGGCTTGGGGTTTTGAGGCGGGCTCTTCGGTGTTTCAACAGGACCCCTGTTTTGGTGCATTACTGGAATACAGCATTACGAACGGTGTCTACACGGGGTGCGATCTACCTCCCGAACTGCAGTCACTGCCGGAGTGAGCTCTGTGTCTGTCCTCCAGCTTTTGCCCTGCCCCTCCCTGCCAGCCCACCTCATTCACCTGCTTTCTGTCCAGTGTTGGGATGATGCAGATCGCTTGGGGTCCCTGCAAGAGGCCACAGCCCCCAGGCCTCCAGCCTGAGCTGCTGTGGGGATCCCAGCTCACTGGCCCCCTCCCCTTTCCCCACGTGCAGCTGTGGCTAGACATGCGCCCCCAGGACCGGATCCACAGCCACAGTTGGTAAGGCAGGGCTGCTGGGCCTGGTGCCATACCACAGGGAGCTGCTGTCCCCGTCTCTGTGCTGGGGCCCCTGCAGCCTGCCTTGTACCCTAGCCTTGGCCATGAGTTTAGGGGCCACGGGGTCCGATGGAACCTGCTATTCCCACACCAGCCCATTCCTGCCACTGAATGGTTACTACAACCCATCACCAAAATAAATGTGCACATGGGACACCTGGTGTGGCTTTCCGGCTCGAAATGCACCGGGTGCTGGGAAGCAATTGTGCTTCCGTATGGCCTCTGATCCCTGCAGGCTCACAGACATTCTCCGGGTCCTCGAGCCAGTGTTCCCTTCACCTGCCAGCCGTGTAGAGCCCGGGGCCTCTGTGGGGCTTCTGTCTGGGGATGGGTGGCCATGCAGAAGTGGGGTCAGCATCCCACTCACCCAGAACCCTGGTACAGCTCGGTGGGACCCGTCCCCTCTGGCCAAGAAGGTGGCCCATCTGTGCAAATCCTCGGGGACCCATTTCTAGGAAGGGCAGGCAGCATTTACACATTGGGGTCTGCGCCTGTGTGAACAGCACCAGGCTTGGGGACCCACATACCCAGGAGCCCAGTGAAGGCATGAAGTCTCTGGCCGTGCCTCCCAGTGAAGTTGGGGGGTGGGGGGAGGGGTGCACAGCAGCCTGCACAGGAGACAGGATGAGCCCTGGGTTCCGAGATGCCCAGACAGACACCCTCACCGTCCATGAGAAGCAGACCCTGAGACACTGAGGCCCATGACCCCCAGCCCTCGTGCCCAAGAGGACTCCCCACATGAAGACACAGGCCACTGCGTAGACACAGGGGCCTGCGGTGGCTGTACCACTCCTTACTGAGGCTCCGAGTCCCCCTTGTGTTTAGAATACATGACTGCTTCCTCCAGGAAGGCAGCTAGGATGATGCCCTGCATGGGGAGTGTGTGGAGGCCCTGGCAGGGCCCACCCCACGGACACCAGACATGAGGCCAGCTGTTCCCAGGAAGAGTCAGACATGACAGGGCAGCAAGCAGCCCAGGGGCAGGTGGGGTGGGGGTGGGGTTGCTGCTCCGCTGTCCTGCCCAGGCCAGAGGCCAGCAGTGCAGGTCCCAGGGCCAGGCCTTGTCGCCAGAACATGGGGTTCTTGGGTGCTCACCGCCCCTCCCGGGGACACCTACTTCCAAACTCCCCCTTCCCACGGTTCAGGGGCCTGCCCCATTGTGGCGTCTGCTCCTGGAGGCAGATGGGGATACTCCTCTGGCTGCGTGAGGGCTCCTGCTCCCTCCCAGACCTTCACACCGGCCTCCTGAGGGTCTGGGCCTTGGGCGGGTCCTCTGCTCACTCCCAGGGTCTTTTGCCCAGGCAGAGCACTCCGGAAGGGTCTGTGTGTCTTTTCTCAACTTTGGCTTCAGGATCTGGGGAAGGTGTCCTGGGAGCTGGTCGCTGGTGGTGGTTCTGGAACCCTGGATGCTCCTGAATAAACCAAGAGCAAACAGCTGTTTGGGAATGGAGGCAGCCTGACCAGAAACTGCCTTGCACACTCACTTCTTGGGCAGGGCGGGGATCACATGCGTAAAACACACTGAGAGCTGGTCTGAGCGAGGGACCGAGTTCTCTGGTCGTGGAGCACATCTTCACAGGGCGGGAGCAGAGGCCAGGCCTCGGGGACGTCTGGGACTTGTCCCTGACGCTTTCTGTGCGGAGGCCCCGCCCTGGGGAGGCGAGCCTGGGGTCCAGACCTCTGTGCGTGCCTGCCTGTGACAGCCCCACACACTGATGCCCTGCGGCCTGTGGAAGGGGCTTACTTGTGGCCCGTGCAGTCCCACGATGCCACCCAGAGTTGTCCTAGAAATGGGATATGGGTGCACAGGCCCCTGTCCCGTACTGCTTATGCTACTCCAGGGGCAAAAGGGGCAGCAGTGAACGCGTGGGACCCAGTGCCCTTCTCTGGGCCTCAGGGACCACTGTTCCACAGGAGCGGCCAGAGCCTCGCCAAGCAAGCGGTTGGAAACCTTCGTGGCTCAGTGAGAATTCTCTGCTCTCAGGCAACACGGGGCAGCGACCTCATGTACAAAGTGCCATCAGGGGTAAAACGATCAAGGATTTCTGGTGGCAACAACAGTATCGGGCCCAGCTGGGGCCTGGGCGGCGGCTCGAGTCCCCCCATCCCCCCTGTCCTCTCGCCCCCTCCCCCCACCACCAGCCAGAGCCCAAGGCTGTGGCAGGAAGAGGGAGCCATGCAGCGGGAAGGAAAGGGAACCGGCCACGGGGAGCCCGAGCTGTGTCTGCCGCAGACCCAAACCAGCCTTGCCAGAGACACGCCCTTCCTCTGGAATCATTGAACTCAGATCCACGTGAGACACCGTCCCCTCAGAGGCTGCAGGTGGGCAAATGAGAATTGATGGTCCTGCAACGGACAAGGACAGGGCGGGAGGGGAGGAAGATAAGACCTTCCCCACACTGGGGGTCCCAAGGTCACCTCAGGACCTCAGGGCACTAATCAAGGCTCTGTCCCTCAGCCCACTGCTGCCGCCCTGGAGATCCCGTCCTCCCGCTTTACAGGTGGGGACAGGGGCCCCAGTGGTGCAGCCCAGAGCCCATGCTGGCGCCCTGCCCGAGGATGGGGCTCTCCTGACCCCAGACCCCTCACACTTGCGTGCTGTGGGTCAGCTGGTGGCAAAGGGGCTGCACCCAGGAACAAAGCTGTCGCGACAGGAGAACATGCTGGTGTTGCTGCTTCAAGAAATACCCACTTGTGGGGGTGCCTGGGTGGCTCAGTCGGTTGAGCGTCCGACTTTGG